ATACATTATTAAATAAATATTCTAGTAAATCCAGTTCAGTTACAAGACTGCAGTTTTACTGAATAGAACCTTATAAATTTATTTCAAGTCAGACAATTACTGACAAAAATGGGCCCTTCAGCCTGTGTGTGCTGCAGCTCACAACATCAGTTTAAGCCTTTCTCAGTCATAAAGCACAAGAGGGATAAAGGAACAAACTCTGGGAGAAGGGGAACTTGGTATGGACTCAAAGGTAGACAAACAGCCTATATATGCCCTTTTTCACATTTCCAAACAGAAAAAAAAACCCACAGAGTACAACCCTACGCACACTGAGTCATGGAAGTAAAGTAAAAATAGGCTACTGGAAAAATGTTTCTTTTTAAATTTTGTTTCCATGACCCTAATTATTCTTTGAGTATTATAACAAGGAACTGACAGACTACTAGAAAGTTTTAATACTAGATCTAGAGTGCATCTTTCTACTCTGTTAGGAAAAATGCCAAACATACTTTATTTCCTGCACCATACTGTATGAAAAATAATTTATGTGCAATGAAAAGGCTGGTTGTAAACAGCTTTGCCCAGGTTATACACTGATTCCGGTTAAAAACAAAGGTTCAGTAGTGATGAGCAAGGAACAGATTAATCACTGGTTATGATTTCTAGGAAGCAGAGCTGAGAAAAAAATAAAGGGATGTGCATGCCCTCATTCCTCAGAATACAGACACCAATAATGGTTACAATAGATACTCAGATTAAAACAAACAAAAAATCGCAGGGACTGTTCATTTTTTTCCCTTTACAGCCTTTTACTGTAGATTAAATACTAATTAGTATTTATTTGAGTGGTAGGAACACTTCCCACCCCCTTCCATACAAAGAATGACAGCATCAAGTAACCACTGTCACAGAAAATTTATCATGAAGTTTACAATGATCTACTTCACTGCTCATTTAGAGACTTACCATTGGATAATGCCTGCTGAAGTTCATGATCAGATATTATTCCACTCCTGTCTTTATCAACTCTGGGAAAAAGAAACAAAACAAAACAAAAACAGGTAGTAAGCTTTAAATGGCTGAAATTAACAGGTTCCACTTACTGAAGACTTCAACATTCTGGTTCTTACTCACCACGTGAGATTATTATTTTCCTGAAAAGTCTCTGGAACATGATAAAAGCTCCAAAGAAAACTCCAAGACTTACTTATGAGTGAAGAGACACATAGAAACACACATTGATAATGAAACAGTTTGGGCATGTTCGGCACAAGGAAGTATTCTTATTTATTTCTGTTTAAGAGAACTGCAGAGCACACATGCTGGTTTAAATCCACAAAATGCCTAATGTCACAGTAGTAAGCTATTTGTTTCGAAAACTGGAGCAACAGGTTTGTCACCCAGACTCTCTCAGGGGAGAGAAAGTCACTAATGTGACCAAAGTACTGAAAGACTCAATCGATTGCAGGGCCTTGACCCTACAGAAGGGGTTCAAAGGATTCAAAGAGGAAAAAGCACAGGTAGGCTCCAGCTTTCATTGAGCCTTCACAGTTCCTTGTCTTAATGATTCAAGTTCTATGCCAAAATTAATGAATTAAGTAATTTCTGCCCAAATAAAGAATGATAATGCCTTCTTTAGAAGGGTATCTGAAATTGGTGGGGACTTCCCTCCATTTCATACAAGGATGTTCCCCTTGGACTGACAGTTTTCATTTCCCCTCATTTACTATCACTCCAAAGCAGAGTCTTGCTCAGTTGATTCCTGTTCGCAGAAGATGAATTTCTTTTCCTTTAGTTCTTGCTGACTTTTCCTAAACACTTTCCGTTCATTCTATTGCTTCCTTCCCCATCTGCAAGAATTATGTAACCTGCATGCAACACTAAAATTGCAAGCATAAATTGCAAAGATTTCAATTACAAATAGATACTCCCCTTTTTTAATCAGTTTCTTATTTTAGTATTTTGAATTTAGTATTGGGAACATTTTTTACCTTTTATGAGCTGCTACCAAGTGCTAAGCTGATATTTTCATGAAAATGCATTATGACCTACTTATCTTGCTCTTGAGCATCATCAGTCAGCACATTCCTTTTATAAACAAAAATATGCAAAATGAGAATGGGTTTTCCTTATGGACACCAGGTTCCTACTCTGGATTCCACCTGACGTATGGGGATCACCTGTCATACAGGGATCATGATCTGGCCATGACAGGCTGATACAGCCCAGTTATTCAGGACTGTAAGGTGCTCCTGCAAACTTTCACAGGCCTCAGTTACTGCAAGAATCAGCAAACCTCATGTGACCATTCACCCTCTTTTTGCAGAATCATAGAACCACAGAGTGGTTTGGGTTGAAAGGAACCAAAGATCATCAAGTTCCAACCCCTTGGCTGTGGGCAGGGACACCTTCAATTATACCAAAATGGCTCAGAGCTCCATCCAGCCTGGCCTTAAACACTTCCAGGGATGGGGCAGCCACAGCTTCTCTGAGCAACCTGTTCCAGTGCCTCACCACGCCCACAGTGTAAAACTTCTTCCCACTCTCCAGTCTAAACCTACTCTCTTTTTCCCAGCTGCTCCCAAACAGATTACATAAAGATCCCAGGAGAGCTCCATCTGTCAGTGTGGCGCATGACCACACACATCCCCTTCAGTCAGTTTTCCATCCACTGAAGAAGGCTTCCATTCATTCTGCGTTTACTGGATTTCTTCAAGGGCTTTTTGATAGTGTTGGGAGTATTTTTGAAAAGCATACAGATTATATGAAGTGCTCCAATTCTAGCCATCATATCCAAATCCTTACCAAACATAGTCCAGGATTTTTACAATAGTCTGCCAGAAGAAATATTTTCAACAAAAGCCATGCAACTCTCCTGACAAACTACATTATTTAAAATTATTTTTACTGATTTTCTTGGTGCAGAAGTCAGACAGACTGTTGATCTGTTTCTTTCTGGACCCTTTAAAAAGAGAAATGGCTTCATGCATGCCTCTGCCGAGTCCTCAGAGGAAGTTCTTTTACAGCAGGCTGGGTAGGTAAGCTGCTGCATTCCTGAGTCACTCCGTAAATATCAGCCAGTTTTGGAAACTTAGTACTGTTTGTCTACTGCTTAACCTCTTCTTGCTGCTGCTTGTGTCACAGGATCTGTCTTGACTCATCTCCCATAAAAATGGATCCAACGTAGGCACCTCCCCAGTTTCCTCAACATGACATAATTGGGAAATCTCCTTTGGCATCTTTACTCATAGGATCTTGCCAGTGCGTTTGTTAAGCACAAGCTGCTAACTCCCTTGCTGCTCCAGGGGAATTCAAGGGAATACTTCACAGAATCATTTAGGTTGGAAAAGACCTCTGAGATCATCAAGTCCAACCAGGCCATGGCATTGAGTGCCATGTCCCATCTTCCCTTACACACCTCCAGGGACGGTGATTCCACCGTCTCCCTGGGCAGCCCATTTCAATATCCAATCATCCTGGCTGAGAATAACCTAAAAGTGCCCTAGTGCAGCTATGTCTTCTTGTCGGTAGCTTTAAAGTCTTCCATTAACATTTATCCGATTCCTTTTAACAAATCTTCCCTGTACTGCCACACTTATCCTCCAGATTTTACTATCCTTTCCGCAATCTAAGGTTAAAAATTTCTTCAGCGCTTTCAAGGTTACCTTCTCGCTGCCATCAATCCCCTTTACCCTCCTTATAAAATACAGCCACATTTATTCCTCCTCAACCCTTTCCTACAGATTCGCCCCACGGGGAAACCACCGCGATGTTCACAGCGCTACCAGGCGCCCCCGGTGCCCGGACTCCCGCAGCAGCCGACCCGCTTCCGGCACCTCCCCCTGCGCGCCAGGCCCGCTGCCCGTCGGTCCCACCGTGGCTCACCTCTGGAACACGTTCCACAGGAAGGAGGGGTCGGGCAGGGGGGCGCCGCCGCCGCCGTTGGGCCGGTACTGGTACCCCGCCGCCATGGCCCTCGCGCGCGCCTGCCCCGCGCGCAGCCCACACCGGCCGCCCCTGACGCAGCGCGCCCGTGACGTCACGGCCGGGTGGGGGCGCGCGCCCCGCCCCGCCGCGGGGAATCCCGGGCGGAGCCGAATCCCGGGCGGAGCCGAATCCCGCGGCACGGGGCGGGGACCGAGGGAGGGAGGCAGCGAGGCGGGGCTGCGGCACGGCCTTAGCGCGGCGCGCAGGGCGTGGCGGGCCTGCCGCACCCCGAGCCGCCACCGTCCGTCGGTTCCGGCGAGGGCAGGAGCACTCCCTGTGACCGATCCCTGCTGGGTCCCCGCTCAGGGGAGCTGGCGTGGCCCGGAGGGGAAAGAGAGTAAGTTTAACATCCAGAAAATGCCTCCGCACCATCACTGAGAGGAAGAAGGGACACACGGGGAAACAAAGCCCGCTGAACAGAGAGAGGATTAAAACACAGGGAAAGAATTTCCGGGACAGGATGGAGTCAGAATACAAGCTAAATTTGTACCACCTCACTAATCTTTAACTGAATGCTTTACTGGAGGGCTGAACACAACCCTCTGAAAAACATGCAAATTCCCCTGTGCATACCCACAATTTCTAGGCAGAGTTTACGGTCCCACGGGCCCCAAGGAGCTCCTGTGCTAAGAGCCCTCAAGCACAGAGGTACCCAGATGATGCTCCACTGAACCATCTCTGGGGACACACCGTCACCGCAGAAAGTGACAATCTCAGATCTATCTTTTATGCAAACTGCTGATCCTGTATATACTTCTTCTAGGGTACAGAGGAGCTGGGAACAGGGCTGGAATGGCACAAGGCCTGGGTGGCCACATGCTGAAGGCGTTACATACACAAACTCCAGAACGTTAAATTAAAATAATGTAGGCTCGTGTCTTGCTTATGCTTACCTCTGACAGCTCCGGTCAGGTACAAAGAGGTAATGTCTTAAATGTGTCCTTCATCAAGGAATTTTGAATCTACAATTGTCTAGTACTATTTTATAATTAGATTAATCTGAAAATACTGTGGAAATAAAACCCAATATCTTGTGTTTTCAGAAAACTATTAAATCCAATTTTTATTCACACTTAACAACAAAAAAGATTTACATGCTCTGTAAATCTACAAGGATGCAAAGAATCATAGCTGAACATAGCAACGGTTTAACATTTTATTGAACTGATGTGCTTTATGTGCTGTTTTTAGTCAATCAGTGAAAAAAAATTGTACCTTATCTCTTTATTCAACCTATAATCAAATTGCACTGTAGCAATTTCATTCAGTCCTTTAAGTCAGGAAACTGATTTCATAATTAAGTTTTCTGCAATAAACTATTTTACACCAAAATAAGTACATACACAAAATATAATGTGAAAGTGGATTGACATGAACACTGAATGCAGTGCCATATAAAGACAGTTCTAAAGGAGCCTGCTTAGGTATTGTAAGTGATGTATGTTAGTATATCCAGCACTAATACAGCTCTGCAGGTTTTGGTATAAATATCTTTATATAGCATTGCAGTGCACTGTGCAAACATATTCCACAAGAAAAATGTATTTGCTGACAGCAAAACCAGCTGTGACAAACGGGTCAGTTAAAAAAACCCATGCCATTAAAAGCTTTGTTCTTCAAACATGACCTTTAATCCTTCTTCTTTCAGAAATCCCACATTTCCTCCTGTCCAAGTCTTTAGAAAGAAATATGCCTAGCAAGTATCAATGTATATTGAACTTTACTCAAAATAGCATTGCCAAATTTGTCCACAAGTATTTCAAACCTGTTGATCCCAGAGCAGTAATGACACACAAACACAGAGTTGTCAATTACTTCAGAAGTTTTGGCACAGTGAGAGTAGGAACTGTAATTTCTTTAAAAATTGGCACATAGTTTGGATTTGGTTGGCTTGGACCTTGATCCAGAGTTTCAATGATAGTCTGCTTCATATCTCTGCTGGCATCCCCTCTCACTGTCAGCAAAGCTGCAATGTGGTCATCCCTGCCAAAGGAAAAGGGTGTAACTGGCATTAGGAGGCTTTGTACAAGTAAGATTTTGTCAAAAACAGCACTTACTTGGCAATCTTTTCACTCAGTTCAGCAGATACTTTTTATTAATCAGATCTCTACTCAGTGAGAACTGGTTTTTCCTACTCAATATGAAGCACTGTTTTGGCTGCTTTTAGGACTCTAAAATCTATTTTATCCTCCCAACACACAGAACTGAAGTATTTTAAGTATTTCTCTGCAGTACTTAAGTAGTTAGAACTCCTAGTTCAGCACACATACATTGTACATTAGCATCATTTTCCACAAGAAAGTGGTTACATTCTAAAATATGAAAAATATGAGCACATTTTCACACTATTTTGAATTTCAAAACTTGCCCAAAAACCAAGGAACTTATGGTGATATCTATCTATAAATCAGATGTGAGGGTAAAGAGAATTACCTGATATCTGGGTATTTGCTGACTAAAGTTGAAACTTCTAGATAGAGCAGTGAAGGATCAGTCAGCTTGATAACCTCTGCAATGGCTTCAATGATGTCACAGAGTCCTTCAGTGTCCTCTCCAGAGCCCTGCAAAAGTAAACAAAAAATATTTAAAAAGCTGCAAAACAATAGCAATATCCCTCAAATCTACAAATGATCCTTTAATTAATATTTTGTCAATATCCTTGAATTTCCCAAAAAGCTGAATTTTCAGACATTAAAAAACTCAAAATATTTGTGAATTGTCACATACTAATTTTCTTTCCCTGTTCTTCATTCAGAGACCTACTCTGAGAATATCAGTGAAGGAAGTAGTGTCCTACAAACAATATTTATTTGTATTTATCCACATGGCGATACACTCTAGTCTTCAACTTTTGGTAATTACAAACATAAACATAGGAATAACTGACATGAAAGCGAGATCTCGTCTGAAACATTTCTTCAAAACTGTCCCTCTGTTAGACTCCTTCAAGTCATCTGGCCACCAAAGCAGCTTTCAGCAACTGACTGATTGACCTGTATCTATTTAAACTGGACTATTTTGCTATCTTAATTCAAGTCATCTGGTTCTGCCAATCAGGTATGGGGTGTTTCCTTTATTCCACAACCTCTTCCATCAACTACCCCAGTTTTTCAGGCTTTATCTTTTTGTGCATTCTTTTTGCATTTTATCAGCTCCTAGGGCCAACAGATTTCTTGAAGATCCCTGTTCCTTATGCAGTTAAAGCTTTTAGGCCTGTCTTGTACATTGATTTTCAAATACTTTTTTTAGCCTGTCTTCTCTATTTCTACTGGACTTCAAATGGGGTCAACATACTCGTCTTATTGATCCAAATGAACACACTGCATGCTCCTTAGGTAATAAGTAATGGAATCTGTTTGATGCCAGATCAGCCTTTCTTCTGGCCAGGGAAAGCAAAGACAGATTTTTTTAAATGATTTTTTTTTTCACTTACTACTATGAATTCAGGGTACCTACCTCTCTGGGGCCATTCAAACATTCAGCTGCAGAGAGCTGTATAAACACAAAGCAGTGGAAACTGGTGTTCAGGAATTTTAGCAGCTGGTCTGTGTGTTCAGAATCTGTCTGTGCCCTCAGCTGGCATTTTTGATATTCCCAAGTCACTCAATATTTTGGAGACATGAAGATTTAACTCTAGCCATTTCCCCTAAGCAATAAACATGTGTGGTTATTGCAAATTACCAGGTTAACAGCACTACCCAAAGCAAACACTTACAGCTGCAAGCTTCTTAAACAAAAATCTGAACTGTTCTGCTTCTTTGATCATTCTTTCTGCACCCTCTTTTCGCTCTTCCGCATTCTTGAAAGATATACGTTTTAGCATGATTGCTCTGATGTATTCCACAACTACTCGCCGATGGGCCTCAAGAGTCATTGTCTGAAAGAAATGGAAAAGGTGGTGCATTATGCCAGTGATACCAGCAGATGTAGCCATTATTTTTAGCCTTTGAACTGTGTAGTTGCACTTAAACAACAGTATACAATTTTTGTTACTATAGATTAAGTGGTTTTATATTTTCACAGTGCTAACAGAAATGAAAATCTCTCCTTCCCTAACAATGAGCCAATCACAAGAAGCAACAAACCCAAGATATCTTTAATAACATGTCTTGAGTTTTTTGAGGAGCACCAAAGAACAATTACTTTCTCAGATCTTCCTTGACTGATTTGCTGTTCTGCACTTGTCTCTTTATGGGAAGTATCTTCTGGTACCTGGATGAAGCATCTGGTATTGGTGCAAGAGTAATGCTGAGATTTGGAAGTAAAGAACAAAACTAAAACCCCAAAACCTTCACACGCTTATTTTTCAACAGAAATGTATGCAGAATCCTTAAATCCCACAGGTCCTCAGGTGCTTTTTCTTCCCCTTAAACATGGTGGCAAAATTACTTACTATTAAGAAAAAGCTGGCATAACAGGTAGTCACAAACTTTTTATAATATTTTATTAGTAGTATGATCAAATTTTAGTTTCAAGTTGTTCTTGAAACATGTTCTTCAGTCAAAATTTGAAAAAAAAAAAGTTTCAGGAAAGAGAGAAGGGGGGAGAAAAAAAGGGAGAAAACAACAGATTGCAAAGTACTGGAAGTCACAACCCTCATCCAGAACACAGAAAATAAAATTTCAAGCTCTGCTCTCAAGAGTCTGCAGAAATACCAGAATTAGGTGGTTGCTCAGAGATGGCTTCTCTTGCGTTGGTGGAATTGATGTCAAGTGCACAAAGGAAAATGAACTGCACAGAACAGACTGTGGGGAACTGACATGTAAGGCCCATCCTGCTGGAAAGGAACTGAGAAACAGCTCCACTACAACTGAGAACACTCCACAAGAGCCAACAGTGCTACGACAGAGAATTCAATTCACAGGAGAGAAAGAGCAAAGTAGAATGCCTTGATCCAAATTTCCTCTGTTTCAGAACTGTGTCCTTCCCACTGGGCTACAGTCTTCTTGGAGGTGCTTTGTTCATGTGGCTTTCAAAAACTGTACTTTCAAAACAGGGTTATCCAAGAATATTTTAAAACCTGAAAAAAATCCCATCACAAATCAGGGAAACAAAAGTATGGTCCAGCCTGTGCTAGAATATATGGTATTTTTAAGGGATATTTTTTTGTGCTGGGAGACAGGGGAAAAGCAAATATGCTGAATGCCAAAGAATCTGCTTGTAAGCATCTTCCCCACAAGGTGGCAATAAATGCTACATGATGAAATATATGTGGTTGAAGAGATTGGTATTAACACCTCAAAACTCATGCCAAGCACTTGTACCTCACAGTAACAAACTAAACCTGGAAAAGAAAGCTGTTCCATGGTTATAGACTAATTCTGGGACTGACCTAACTTTGTGCATTTCTTCTCGACTGAAAATACTTACATAACAAGGCCTCTAGGATCTGCAAATGCTGAAGTTTAAGAGGTCATCAGATAAACTCTGAGCAGTTCACTTTATCACTTTGAGAATTAAGGTAAGAAAGAGTAAGTGTATGATTTGGAGACTATCTTTTAAGCCCTTCTAACAGCTTCTTCAAAGATCTCACCTAAATACTGATCTTCTCCTAGCTTCTACTTAGGTTCCGAAGTGTTAGACAATAATTTAACACTGTCTTATTACATGAACCTGCCTTTAATCTTCCACATTATTGTACTTGTTTCTATCAATGGAGAAATCAATTTATTCTTTGACAAACTAGAGGGTAAAAAAACCATAACCTAGCACATTTACTATTTTAAGAGCACTTTAAACAGCTATCCATTTGTTAACCCTTACGGCACCAAGTTCACTATGCGTCATTGTGTATATTAAAACTAGGAATTACTTGATGTGCATTTATAAAAGAAAGTAATTACAGACCAGCAAAACTAGTTTCAGAAGAGCTAATTTTATCTACAAACTTCTGAGGAGATGTAGAAAAGTACAAACTGGTAAAAATATCTAGTAACACACCAAGAAGTTTCCTGGACTAAATACTAAACTTAGATCTGTCTTTGACAATATTGTATGCCTGGGAACAACAAAAAAAAAAAAGTAGATTCAGACTTCTGCAGTATGGCAATGAACATTTTTTCCTTTCCAGTAATGAATCCATTCAAATTTCTGCATTTCAGTTCTGAATTCCATGTGGTGTTCAGAAATTCCAAATCAATATAGTGCTCAGAGTACATGAACAAAGTATCACTAAGTATTTTGCACTTACCTTTTTGTAAGGCTTTTTAATTTTTGCAAAGTCATTGAAATAATCCTCTACAGTGACACAGATTGTCCCCACTGCGTTAGATCCCATCAGCCACTTCTTCGTCATCAGCTCATTCAGATGTGGCTGAGAAGGTGACAAACAAGGGATTAGATCAGGTTTTTGATAGTTTCATCAGACCAATGCAGTTACTAAAAAATGTGAGACATTTTAAAGTGTTGACAATTTCTAAACTATGCTTCTCCCACATTCTTCCTCATGTGAGCCATTCAAAGTATTTATATTAGTTCTAAATTTTATTACAAATCTGACAAGTCCCAGAGCATCTCTCTTCACCATTTCCTGCTGTTTCTCTAATTGCCCTGTTTCCCTCCTCATACTCCCAATTTCTTTATAGTAGTAATTTTTTCCCTGGGGGATTCTATACAAGAAGCTAGAGTGATTTAGATTTAGATTTCCTAAACATGGAAATCTACCAGACAGAAAGGGCTCACTGTTAGAAGCAATTAAATATATTAATTACAGGTTAACTGGACCTGCAATGACAACTTAGTATCAACAGCAGTTTTCCCAAATAATTCTTACAACTCAACAGCATAAGACTGAGTACGTCTGCTACAAAACATTAATTATATACAAAGCACCTGCCTTAAGTCATCCTGTGAAACCCAATTAAGCACCTTCCAGTCTCCTACATGCAAACTACACCAGTGAAGAACAGTACTAATGTTTACTGACACTTTGCTAGCCCATATATAAAAACCATATATTTTATATATTTAGCAATCAAAAGGCTCCACAACTACTTCATTCTGAATTATTTTTTCTTTCTAAATAATACTTCTGAGTTTTTTGAGGAAAAAAGTTCTAACCTCTAAATCCATGAAGACTTCATCTAGCAGGCTAGAGTAGCCTTCCTTAGCAATGATGTCTAAAGTTGCATCCATGTTTGCATGACTGATTGACAACGTGTCTTCCATGTCACTTTTCAAGTATTTTCTCTTCAGACTGATGATAGATTCTCTGAGACAAAACAAAAACAAAACAAAAAAGGCTTTTCATCACCCACTGATGCACAATTACAGTGTTACATTTTGGAGTACAAACACAGAAGAAGCCACAGCAAACAATTATTTTTGCAAGGGGAAACGATGCCTGCTGCTTGCTTTGTAAGCCATAATTTACTCTCCAGTATGATTCTGGAGTGGTCAGTGCAGACTACTTGTGTGTTGGTAGAAAATTGCTGATGTGTAGACCTGCAAATGGCACCAGTTATGGATGAACAGGAAGTTGGATTGTCCATCACTGAAACATAAGCCATTCTGATACTCTTCCCAGAAGGTCTGCCTTTACTTTTCTCCAGTTCAGGTCACCTCGATCACATTGCTAGAAGGTGATCTGAGAGAGATCCCACGTAAGAGAAGGTGGCTGGACCCAGAAAATCTGAAAAGACCTTTTCAAATTCTGGAAGCTGAAGATAAATTTTCCTTTGGCAATGAAATTCTTGGAATAACAAGTGGTTTTTTGCTGGTGGTTTGGCTTGCCAAAGGCAAAAGCAATCACAATACCTGCCTCTTAAAACAGTGCTATCTTTAAACCTGTTGTCTTTGTTTAAGGCTAAACTATCTTAACTCAAACCCTCTTTGTATACAGAAGAGAAGTTTCTGGGAAGAGGTAGTATTACAACTGAAATATCAATAGCTCTTTTCCTCACAGTACTGCAAGGATATGCAGACTTACTTGAAGGTTTGACAGTTGTTGATGACTGCAATCATGTACTGAACATAGCATTGAGGATACTGACGATTTCTAAGATGATCTTCTTTATACAACTGTGCTTCATCTTTGTACCTGTAACACATAAAAGGAATGGCATTAAACAAACTCAAATCTGTAAGAACTCAAATACGCCCATAGGACCAAATGCTTCATAAGGGTCTGTAAAGTATTTATAAGTATTTTATAAAGAGTGTGTTGCTCATGTGATGTTTAGCCTTTCTGTTCTGGGCAGAATCCAGCCAAGGATGTGTTGTCTCTCTTACTTTAGAGAAAGACACATAAATTTGAGATATAAGAGAAAGCGGAACTGACTCAAAAAATTAAGAGCTGTTTGCAGACAGGAACTGAAAGTGCCACTCACCAGCACAGAGGAACTTCTGTAGTGAAATTGGGTAAGGGGAGAAAGGAAGAAAAGGAAAAAGAAGAAAAGCCTGGTTGGCATGAATGTGATAGGAGAAAGCCAAAGCAATAAAGAAACAATCAAACAAAAAAAAGACGAGTACTGAACTGTAGGAACAGAGACTGAGGTAGGATAAAGCATTGATATTTTAAACATTATGTTACCTGGTTAGAAATGAATTCATTTGCTGAAGACATAGAATGAGTACCTTTGTTTTCAAATCTTCATTTATCTGAGCAGCCACCTGAAGATTCTGCTCAAACATCTAAGACAAAAATAGTTTAATTTATGAAGAGAGGCATTTATCAGTGGTAAAACAAAGATAGAACTCCTATCTTGCAGTCTCTCACTAGCACCAGCTCTACATATGTGTTTTGTTCTTTTTTTTTCAGACAAGCCTATTGACTAAACCAAAAGCCACTATTCTCACAAGTGTAATTAATATATTACCAATGCACCCATTAATGCATGCTGCAGTGTTCTCCTGATACTGAAAACAGTTGCATTTTTAATTCATTAAAACAGTACTTAATTTCTTTAATTCAGCAGTGCTTTGGCTTTACAGTGTATCAAAGTTCTAGGGTCAGCTCCTGCAGTTAGTAATGAATAACGCTACAACTCAAATTCCTTTGCTTCTCCCATATATGAAAGCAGTGAGCTCACAACAGTTAAGTAAAGGAGCCTCTAAACTTTAGAAACACAAGCAGTTACACGATCTAGGTGACTTAAAGGCAACTATGTTTGAGAGGAGGGAAACTAGAACGAAAGGACAGCACAAATACAGTTGGAAACATGAGCTGTTTCTATGCTAAGATGATTTTGAAAATTTCACTGCTACATGCATCTCAGCACTGCAGTCCCTCTCAGCATGACACTAGAGCCAATAATCAGCCACCAATTTCTTCAAAATCACACACTTTCTGAAATGATTAGATGAAGTAAACCTTGCCACTAATACAAATGTGAAATAATATAAAATATTATAATATAAAAATCCTGGTATAAGGTGGAAAAAAAATAAAGTGGCAAACAAATACAGGAAGAAGAGATAATCTATCTTTCATTGAAGGTACCTAACACAATATTTGTAAAGAAAAATTAGAAAGTGAGCATAATAAGCAGACATTTTACTGGTCGATAAAGATCACTTTCAAAACTTTCCACTACTGAAAATAGGGTGGTGCTGGTTTGGGTATTTTTTTTTTTTTTTTAAAGGATCATAGAAACAGCCTTATCTTTTCTGGTTTTAATTTGAACAGGCATGAATGTTAACTGAAGTAGTGTTTGAAACAGCAACAGTTTCAACCTTCAGTGGAACGTTTTATTCTAGTATTAAGGTGTTTTTATATAATGAATAATTTATAGCAACAAATACATGCCTCAGCATTATATTAACAAAAGCTGTTCGAGTAAGTCACATATCAATTGGTGGGCCTATACTACAGTTTTACATCAAGAGACCTAAGTAAAAGCAGCTCACTAAATACAAATATCAACAAAACAGGCTGGGGAAAATATGTTTCTAACCTACACATAAAAAAGAACTATGTCTTTAAGCACTGAAGTAAAAAAGGTAAACAAAAACCTTCAGAGAAACAATCCCTCCAACTAACAGCTCTACAGGGGAAAAAACTGTACTTCAAAAGACATAGAAACAATAGTATTCTAGAGAGTTTAGCTTCCCCTCCATTCCCCCAAATCCATGTACTGCTTCTGTAGATCTTCTAGAAAAAACATATGTGGTCTTATACCTGAAAAACAATAGCTGGGAGGGTAGTCTGATAGTACCCATCTTGATCTGCTTCTGGTTCAGTTTCTTTTATCCAGTCTTTTTTATCTGTCTCCAGTGCTTTTCGCAGCCAGCCAATGATGTTAGACTTCATTTAATAAAGCAACCAAGAGAAAGAAAAGATTTAACACAACAAAACCCCCTGCTACAATATCTAGAATAGCAGTCATTTTCATATTGAAGAGTAGCATAGTAACAGATAATGCTGACCACTTTTGCCATTCCTGCAGGATGTAATTAACAGACAAAGTTTACATTGACAAAAGTTAGCACTGAAACACAAGTGGTATAGTTTGAAGTTTGGCACATTTTGGAAGGGGAGTGCTTCTAACACAAAGGGCAGGTGGGTTTTCAGAATCAACATGTTTACTAATTTTGGAAGAATATAAGGCTTGGGCTTTAGCTTTGAAACTGAATTTTTCCCCAGCTGAAAAAATTAGGGTAATAATTAATGTAGGAAAAAGAGCACATATCTGCCTGTACTTCCTTTTACACCTAGGCGTTAGGAAACTGGTGCTCGTTACTGCCGGGAACAAAACCCCAGGATAAGACTGAATGGGTTGTGTTTCTTGGAACACAAGTGCTGCAGAACACAGCGATGGATACAATGGCTGGCTCTCCTCCCATCTGCCCAGCACACTGTACATTAAGAACAACTGGGTTTCGGAGATTAAGCCAGTTCTCTGCATGCACATACCACAGACCTATTCACGAGAGTAAAGACCAGCATGTTTGCTAAATATATAACTGGATTCTTTGATTTCTGTCTTGCTTGGGCTGACAAATTCTGACTCTTTTCTTCTTTGTCCATGTTTGCTTAAAACCTGTAGTAATATAAATGTCTGTACCTCTTTCCAACATGTTAGAGGTATATTACTGTGCCCTACCATGCACAATTACATATTACCAGTAGGCACAAACAGAAAGGTCAAAGTCCATATAGTAACCTCTTCAATTGTGTGAAACGATGCACTACCTTTCTTCCGCATAAGCATGGAATTGCTCTAATGAAATATGACCTGCATGACTTAATCTTTTAAGCCAGCAGCCCAGGGGACATTTTCACCTTAAGATCAGCATTTACAAGGACTTTTTTTCAAGCTGAGGTGATTGGAAAAATAATATGCTAGAAATCTGTTAAAATCTACTAGCATTTTACTTCTCATGACATTTTTGTTGATGTAAACATCAGTATTTAGGTTGATACTCCCAATTACTTATACTTAGCCATACAGAATTAGTTCATTGTGTTTAAAAACACTTAAATAACATCAAAAGAAATAAGTTAGAAGTGAAAAAAAAAGGCAGTTTTGGTATTTTCTGCCTTAAAAGAAAGATACAGCCAAAAAATAAAACCAACAAAAAGAAAGCCTCTGTTTAACAGAGTAGCAACTTTGTTTTATTTATATTCTATAAATAAAATAAAGCAACATTCTAAACATAGTATTTTTCAGTGGATAAGAAAAAAAACAGTTCTAAAAAACCAATATAGGTGTATTTTTCATGGTAAGTGAGGATAAAATTAATCCAAAGGCATTTCCTAAGTCAAGGCAAAAGCAGCTTGAGAAAACAAACCAATGTGCTTTTTGTCCTAAAAGTAAGTGCAGTAAAATAAACTTGCACAGAAGTTCTAATAAAGCGAATGGGAAGCAGAGCCTCTACTGACAACTTCCTTGAGTCATTACAAGACTGGTTCACATTATTGTGATGAGTATAAAGTCCAAGTAGTTGCTGTTGGACATATTTTAGTAGTTGACACATCGAAAGAAGCATAAAAATTTCCCTCCTCTGCTTGGCAGAGCTCGTAGAGTTAGGAGGAGTAGGAATTCATAGAACGATTTAAGAACAGCAAGTCCAAAGTTACAACTACCCGAATATCCTCTCCTGGAGGCAATTAGTGGATCTGACAATCACATAATGCTTATTTTGCCATGAAGTTGACCAGTTTCTAGTGACTCTTAGGATAACAAAGAAGCAGTGTCTTTATATTTAAGATACACTTGAAATGGCATCCACAAAAGGAAATTATGCTCATGCAGTTAACAGGCATGAAAGGAAAAAGGCTGTTAAAAGAATCAAACTGGCAAACATCCTGATTACCTTGAAAAGATCACATCTGTATCAAATGTTGATGTAGTTACTATGGGGACCAAACTGCCTACAGTGACTTTTTAAGTGCTAACATACTAGCACTATGGATTTTGGCATATGAAGACTGGAATTCCTTCCTTTCCAATAAATTATTATTAATAGTCTGTAAAGCGTAACTACTCCTTGAAATGCCATGATTTACATATATAAAATCATCTGATTATGACCTTATAAACTTACACAAAGGATATGAAATTTTTTATAAAAGGGATGGTGTTAGATTCACATTTGTCTGCTGATGGAAGAGCAGCACTGAGGTACTAATGCTGCTATAAACTCATCTGAAGGTGCCTTTGCACGGTTATTACTCACAGTGAGTGTTGACATATACTTGTTGAGAAGCTGGTCTACCACATTTTGTGAAATCAGAGCATCTAGAGAATTTACATCCACTTCAGGAGACAGTTCTGAATTTCCCATCATCTCTGCACTGAATTAAAAAAGGAAAAAGAAAAAAGAATAACACATTGCAGATTAAAAAAGAAAAATGAGATCAAAAGTTAAAAACTAAGAAACTATGCAAATTCTTCTGTATGTTCACTGTAAAGGGCAATTTTCCAATACCTAAACATTTCAAAAAGTTTTTAATAGCAACTGCAACAATAAATGTGTTTACAAGAAATATAAATAAAACTATGAATGAAAGAACAGAATGTAAAAGCTACAGCCTGGGATATAATAAAAATATTATAGACATTTAAATATACAACCTTTCCATGCATTCTTTACTTTTATTAAGAATTAATGATGACTTGAAACAAAATAAAAGCCAGCTGGTTCAATCTGTGGGCTCTTTGTAGGGGACATTTTTATATATTTTTCAATTTCAGATGTAATGACAGACAATTTATACATTTTGAATTCTAGAACAGTAAAGATCAGTGACAAGTATGAATTACTGTCCTCAGATCCTCAAAAGAGCTTCTGTTTTGGTACTTGTATCACATCCATGTAAAAATTAAAATATATTAAAAGAAAAGCTACCTATGCTTCCTTTTTTGGTACAGAATATAGCTAATCTAAGAGGAAGAAGCATCTTTCAAGACAAATCAGTGGTACTGTATAAAGACAATTGCTTGCACAGGAAAGTTCTTGATTTTATAGGATTGGAAAGAAACTAGAGCAAAATATTAACAAGGATTATGTAAAATTAATACTTTACAGTGATATTTTGCATCTGTATAAGATCATACAATGAGTGGCTTGTGCAATCAAAAAATTCCCAAAGCTATGCCAAAGCACAGCGTAGCAAGAACTCTTAATATTTCATGCTCAAAAAAATAAATGAGTCAAACCCACACTCTTCAGAGAGTGCTTTACTAACAGCTGATGGAAATATATTCAATATCATAATAACATAAACTGTTTCACATTCCATTTATAGTGTGTTTTTCAAAAGCAAACCACAAATTCTGTATTTGCAGAGGCTACTATAAAAACAAATAGCAACTTAATTTCCTAAACAAGTGTCCAGTTTGTACAGTTCTGAAAACTGAAGTTGTTCTCTGGGTACATGCAGGGACTCAGCATGGTGTTGCTTCCACTTCCTGGAAAAAATAAATCTCAAAGCATTGAAAAAAACCCACTAGAGTTACCAATTTAGAAGACTAAAATTCTTGTACTTGAAACCATAAAAGCTAGTGTGACAGAACATCCTACACTAATAGGATCTTCCTGCATCTTCTTGACTTGTACAAAAAGAAACTGAAATTATTTTAAGTGGCTCAATCTATTCACAAACCTGAATTCTATTCAGTTGCTGTTTACAGAAAGAACACACTTAATAGCAGGACCTGCTCTAGGTTGATTTAGAGGAAATGTGAGAAGCTATTTATGGCACTGTGCCATGTTACAAAACATTTCTAGCCTCATTTTACATAATTATCCCTGTTCACAAAGCCACAGAGACAATAACCTTTTCTCAAAGCACACATCACCTGAAACCCCAAAACAAAGACCAATAACTTCTTCCTCCGGCCCACGACACAAAAATTCTTCCTATACACAGTTTCTCTTTCCTGATTGTCATAACGCGAGTGCCTAGGGGAAAAGAAGCGACAGACAACCCTCTTCCAAGTGGCACAACATTTCTTGGGAAGTTATTTACCTTCAACAAGAAACTTATAATCAAGTTGGAATTTCAAACATAATTGCAATATTTGTAAAGTAGCATTTTAGAAAGCTTCTATTCTGCCACCAATCATGCTCTGTCTGGTGGAAAAAGAGATACTGGCTCCAGAGACAGCATCCAGCCATATGTATAGTGGTATTCCTCCTATTCCTTAAAGTGAACATTGCTGACACCATTGGAGCAATCCTAGCAGTTTTGTCAACACTTGATCAGTATCTCATAAAATGATGCTATGAATACGAGTATCAGAATCTTACAAGACTTGTAATTTTCCTCAAACACAGATTAGAGTCTTGGTCTCATCCCAGCACAGATTTAATAATAACAGTATGTTTCCAAAACTCTCATTGACTTAAACACGAAAGAGAAACCCACCTAGCACAGTGAAACTCCCACTCAAATATTAAAGGCTATTATTCTCCATATAGCATCACTTTATTCCTGAGCTGTGAGTCAAGCGTATTTCTAAAAACAGCTTCCATGCAGACATGCTCTGATAAAGACACCCTCATGATTCTTTTGTAATTCCTATGTTTCAAATACTGAAATAAAGTTGTGCATGACCTAATCAATTCATCACATGAAAAAAAAACCTCAATGCTTCTTTTCAGTCAGTATACTCTCAGTTGGTTTTGAAGTGCAGCTGCAATATGCAAATACAATACAATTTTTTCTCCTCTATTATTTACAGTTCTCATGATGCCAATAGTCCATTCTCCTTCCTAGTTTATTATAAACATACCCCTATGGAGAGTTTTTTATTGTATTGTTAAAAGATGTCTAGCAACTGTGATTTGGTAAGCTCTGCAAATATCCCTGTTGAGAACTTTACTTTCCCATTCAGAAACCTGAGCTGATTTCTTCTCCCACTGTGCACTACCAACACACAATGGCTAATTCTCACAGAATCATAGAAAATGGTTTGGGTTGGACCTTAAAGACCATCTAGTTCTAACTTGCCTGCCATGGGCAGGGATGCCACTCCCTAGACCAGGTTGCTCAGGACCCCATCCAAGCTGGCCTTTAACACTTCCAGGGATGGGGCATCCACAACTTCTCTGGGCAACCTGTTCCAGTAATTATCATCCTATTTATAACCTTTTATTGTAATATACAAGAATACAATTCCTGTACTGCCCTCTTGGGCTTTTTTTTTTAGAGAAGAGAGAAAGTCAAAGCCTTAATTTTTTTCCTTCAAGGAACTTCCTCTAATTTCCATCTCACTTGTTATGCATATACACAGGGAGAAGAGCATGCTCAGATATCCTGTAGTGTGTCCACTCCTCTCACTGTTTCCCTTTCTTCTCAGGACTCAGCCACCAGGTGCTATGAGCCTCATGACTTGCTTTAGCAAGATTTGTTTGCTTTGCAAATAGACGCAACACTGGTTTTGCTCCCTCCCTTTGCCATTCCAATGATGGAATACACAGATTTAGAGCTTTAACTCTGAATTGTCTAACTCAGTAACAATCTACTCTGCTTTCTGAGGGAAGGTAGAAGGGCAATTTTAAGACCAAGAATTGCCTTACTCGAACATAAGCCCCAGGACATAAATGAAGAGCCTGGAAGCAGGATTTATGCCAAGGTCATGCATAAGAAGGATTAATATCTCTGATTTTCATTCACTGTAGAGTTATTCCTCTGGCCTTCAAAAGAAGAAAAGGCCAATTAACTCAGCTGCTAATTAGTAGCTGTATCTCTCTTATACCCTGCATGGGTATCTAAGTATACACAAGTGGGTGCTCCTGATTCTTCCTTGCAGGGAAGAAAAACCAGGAAGACTTTGCAGTGTAGAGTAAAGCACAGAGTGCTGAACACAAACCTTAAAGCTAGTTATGAAAACTCTTGAGAACAGTATTATCTCCTACGTATGTACTTTATGGTACTATACTCTAAATTCACCAAATGACTAAACTTGTCACATTAGTGATATTAAACAATTGAAGACATCAAAAGTACACATAGTACAGAACCTGGGTCAATGCCAGCTATTCAGAACAGGATTACAGTCATGAGCCACAGAAAGGCTAGCAGCACTTTTTCCCAAACAAATCAGTTGCTCTAGTAACTACATGCCAGCAAAAACTGAACAGTTGCCATTTGAGCTGTTTCTACCTGGAAGATGAGGAAAAAAAGCAACAAACCCTCCACAAGGCTTAAGTTATCCCAAGAAATCAGACAAGTCAAAAGAAATAAGCATATGGCTATCATAGAAACAACCTGTAAGCAGAAATTCTTCTAAATCAACAAATCATCACACAGTTTTGAGAGAAAGCCTAAAGGAAGTTACCACATTCTTTCCATTTAACCGTAATGAAGCAACTGAAGCAGTCCCACCCCCTGTAGAAGAGAACAATAGAAAGTTAATAATCATACAGATCTTCCGGGGCTGTGGCCATAACAAACATTTTGTTTCACACACGAGCTCTCAGTCTCCTTCCCAATACTTCACCAAACTGGTACACAAATACAAGGTGACTGTAGTTCCATGTAGGTCTTTAGCTGCATTAACATTTTAAGCAACTCAACATTATATATTATAAAATACAAATTTTAAGGAGCAATTTCCAGGAAGCAGAACATGTAATGAATAGAGTGATATTATCCCTTTTCTGTTTTATCTTTTTGTATATTAATAGAGATGCAATTACTAACACAAACGGCGTTTTGCATGTCTCCTCGCCCTTATGGCTAACAGAAAAGATATAGGGGCCTTACCTAGTGTATGTATTCAAAACCCAAGTTAGAAGGCTAACAATCTCATTTGCTTCCAGATCCTCCGCAGCAAGTTCTTGCATTCGGGTGGCCAAAGCCTGGTGGTACATGTTTAACAACCTGTTGAAAATGTCATAATGTGGAGGAAAGCATTGATCCAGCAGGGTCTTGGCCACGAGCAGGTCATCGAGGACGTATTTACGGATGATTTCGAGATGCCGCACAAGCCACATTTTGTCGGATTCTCTGGTGTCTGCCTGAGTGCCTTCAATCCGCGTGCTCACAGTTCTCTCCAAAATATTGAACATTTTTTCTTTCCACTTCTTTGGTCTGCCAGGAGGTATGAACCCAGTCTGTTTTTTCCTGTCTAACATGCGCCTGTCAATTTTCTCCTCCCTCTCAATTATCCTCACAACAGAGACAAGCAAGGTTGGATCTCGACGGACCGTAACAAGAGATCTTTGAACCACCATCCAAAGCTGCTTTGCCAATTCCTCAGACAGCTTCTGCATATCCCCAAAGTACGTGTGGATGAGGTTCATGTCATGCGTGTTTTTGCTGTCCATGCGATACTGCTCATACATCAGGTTATCACGAGAACACTCCAAATCCATCAGTTTCCGGTGAGCCTGCAGAAGTTCCCCTCGCTCAATCAGGTCATGGGTCTCCCTGACTATCTCTGGAACTGAAAGGCAGGCAAAGAAGAAGAAAAATCACATAGAGGACAACACTGCTATCAAAATACAAACAATTAATACAAGACAATAAAAGTACTAGGAAAAAGGCTGGAGAATGGCTGTAAGAATTATTTTTAAATACTTGAAAGGAAATTATTTTCAAGTATTCAAAAATTGTTAGCAAATGTTACGTATCTTTATACATTATTAACTATAATGCTGCATTTTGATCAGTGGCTAAACAAAGATCATAGTGCCACCACAGTTTCCTCTCTTCCTCCAGATGCCAAAAAGTAGATAAATGAACCCTGGAAAGTCTACTGTGAAACCAACTGCAGTGCTGGCCTTCTTATATATTATATAAAAGGCTTTTAACTTCCCTGACCAAAAGGCTTTTAACTTCCCTGACCAAAAGTCACTCTGTTGAACCTGAGGCTGCATAAACCCAACAAATGCCAAATTTTATCTCCTTCTTGAACAGTTTTTGCCTGCTTACAGCACAAATGAAGGATAGAGACTATGCTGCTAAAATATGTAGAAGACGTTTTGTCTTTATTACTTTTCAGTATTTGAGGAATCCTAGAGAAGATCAGGATCATGTGGGGGAAGGACTGAAAAATCTCATCAGAAAAATATATCACTGCAAAAAAGGCAGCTAGTGATAAAACTGGTAGCCCATAAAAAGTTCTAGTGATTGTAACTGTCTTTTCAATCATGATAAAAACCACTTTGTTTATAATACATTTGATCATCTCTGAGCAAAACAACTACACTGTTTAACAGCTCCAGGGAGAGATGCTTCATACTAAAAACCTCTCAGAAAGCCTCAAAAGGTTTATTGTCTCAGCCGCATTCATCTGTGTAAAATGAAACAACACCCCCAAAACAACTCCACATGCGTAATTTTGCTGTTCTTTGTTTCTTATTGCTAGACATTGCATGTAAACACTTTTCTTTAAGTTGCACACTGTATCTTATACTGTAGAGGTTAGGTACACACAGAGAGTAAACAGATCAACCTGGTATGGCTGCGAAGCAATTTTGCTTTATAGGTACACTTTTTGTATTAGTATCAGAAGATAAAAGGAGAAAATGCTGTTTAAATGAAATCAAATTAGTCTGATAGGTTTAGTCCCTGTTACAGGAGTAAGATACTTAGAATTATTTATAAATAGAGAAGTCCTGGCAAGGAATTCACCATGATTCAAGATGGTATAGTGTCCATTCCATCACAGCTACACAAAATCACACATTATCTTTACAGTATCCATTTTATTACATTAATCTTAATTAATTTTGCAAACCCTCACAGATGTACAGTGGTGCAAAATGTTTTTGCCTCCTAAAATTCTGTACTGTTTGTACCCAACAGGCTTGCTGTAGATGTCCAAACTCAAGTGGCAACACACCAGAACTTTACAAATAATCTTTCTGTATTTGTTGCTTCCGTATTTCAGTCTTTTATCCTAAACACGTATCCCAGCTACCGACTGCTTGCAAGAAACTTCTGTGAGTTGTGTGTGATGGCCAGAGTAGAGGCTTCTACAGCACAATTTAGTCTTCATCTATATTAAATGGTTACCAGCTACTGTATGGTTACCATACTTCTGTATGTGATGTGTAGGTCTTTCTTCCTTAATGGTTTGTTCCCAGCGAGGTTTAAAGCTCTCAACATTACCTGACAACCTTACAGTTGTTAGCACCACATTAAAGTGTTTTCAGTATGTGACGGATGATATAAAGAACAGTAGATTACCTGAAAATATATTCTTGAGATTTTCTACAGCAGCTGCCAGTTGGCTATGTTGCACTACAGCATCCTTAACATCCTTGAGGTTTTCTATAGTGTTGATGCTCTGTCTCCAGTCCTTATTGACATCTATCAAAGACTGCTGAATGTCCTTCACATCATTCAGTGCATTGTGCAGTTGGCTTAAACCTGTTCGTACTCCATCTAACTGTGACTGTATTGCTGCCTTGAATACAAACAGACAAAGAAAGAACCCATATTAATCTTCATAAATTTTATATTGTCATAATTTCTCAAGATTTAATTTTAATTTCAGTATCTAACATTTTCAGCAAAAAAAGCGCAAATATTATAATTTACTAGAAGTGTGCAAGTTTGCATGTGCAAAATGTTGTGTGTGCCCACATACCATTTTTTTGAAGTTCTGAAGCTGTATCTAGTTTTGAAGGACCTAGATACAATTAGTCCACCCAGAAAATAACATAGGAGCTTAGGGAGACGACTGTAAACTTTATAAATCTATATTAAACCAGGATCAAAGGAATGAGACTTCTCTGCATTTCCTTCATAATTTAATTTCAAAGAGGAATATCAAAGAAAGTTGATGTTTCATCAGAATGTTTGGTATGTACAGATTCTCAAAGCATTTTACCAAAGCAATTACAAATTTTTACTCGCAATAGAATATGTTCTAAAAAGTCCAAATTTAATTCTGAAAAGTTCTTAAAAAAAAACCCAAGAGCTCCTGGAGGCAAAAAAAAACCCCAAAGTAATTCAGTAAAAATAAACAACAAAACTCCAAACTGAATACAATTTTCAAGCTGTGAAACATCAATGACCAGACCACCAGACCAAAAATGCAACTACTAGATTATTTTGTCATAAAGACAGGTTATTGATATGGATGTTTTGTGACAAGTGACACTTGAAATAATGATTCTTCACAGAGGCTGTTAGGCCTGAATATCATTCAGCTGTCCAGACACCTTACAGAAAATGCAGTATAGTGCATATCTGAGTGAAAGAAATCAAATCACATCCACAGCACATTTTTAGATACATAGTTTTAAAAAATGTGATGAAGGTGAAATCAAGGGAATGGAAAATTGAACTAGAAATAAACAGGCTTCAAAAGACAAGCAAGTCATCAGTGAAAATTCAGCTGCATAACTTGGGGACTTGAGGCAACCAGTAAAGAAAATGAGGCACTAATCATTTTGCTAAGATCAAAACACGTTTTTTGCCAGACTTTTAAGGCCCAAAAGCTTGGACAGTTGTGGAACTTTTTGTCGGATACTAGAAGCCAAAGAGGAAATCCTGGTAACTGCAAACAACATTTACTGTTTTGTATGTAGTGGGAAAGTCCCAAAAAATGCAGTGATTTTTAAACTAAGATTATTTACGTACTTTCAATTTATGACATGCTGATTTTATTGATAAATAAAACTGTGCTGACTGGCAGTCAGCACAATTAAGCAGTAGTAAGGCATTTTTATACAGTTTCTATCTATAGAACTGCTGCATTAACACATTTTTCCTCTACAGGAACTGAGATAATTAGGATACTCAAACACAATCTTCTGCAGCTGACCATAAATATTTTAAAAATCACATGATCATTAAATGTTCAATACTTCTGCTTTGATAATTTCTTCTGAGGCAGATCTTCCAAGTATTACATATTCAAATTTTTGCCTAATTATCTTTTGCAGAGACTCGATAATCTTGAACTGAAACAGTCAGGGATCTCAGTCTCTAACACAAACCAGCAAGGAAAATTCTAAAACCTGACATAAATCCATAAATGCATGTTCAGTTTGTCTTCAAATAGTCAGCTGGGGCCAAGGGATGGGATAGGGAATAAATCATGTCCCAGCCTAGCATTGTAGACTCTGCTTCCTAGAATGCATATTCCTATTTGGCTGGACTGATCATCCCTGTATTAAAGAAATGAAAACAAAACTAAGCCATCCTGGAAAAAGAGCTCAAAACTTCTCTTTTCATGTCTTTTCAAGAGACAGGTTTCAACATGAAGCCAGAATCCTGGCTTGCTGGTCTTCCTATGGCTCAAATCCACAGCAGCTAAGAATCAAAAGGGAAAGGATTCATGCATATTTATATTCTAGAACACCCACAACCTAGAAACTTCCCTAGGATATGTATATTTATGCACTGTTTCTTCACAGAAAATTTCTTCCACTGATTAAGAGCACAAACAAAAATGAAGGCCAACGATTATAAATTTACAGGCTCTGGAAGAGATTTCAAGCAGCTCTTCTACATTCTGGACTAGAGAACCCAAAAGCACCAATCTACAATGCTATCTGGTGCTCTTCCACATATCCTTTCAAAGTTCTGCTACCGAACCCCAAAAATACTGCTTCATTGAATGCCATCAGTCTCACACACAAAACTGATGAGTTTGATGTATTTCAAAGCAGTTTTTCTTCTAAGAATTTCTGTTACATGGGAAGAATTGCAGTGAGGGATATAAGAACTGGACTTATCTAAATATACAGGAGATTTGGAGAGGATATTTAGATTCACCTGAAGAAAATGATGACAAAGATAGCAGCATATCCAGTCAGAAAGAAGCAACTAACATGTTCACAGTGAAAGATTTCCCATGTGTTCATTCACTCAGATGAAGCAGCAATCAATTCAGTCTGAGAAGTCAGCAACTGGTGACCTCGGGCTGATGATCCTGATGTTTGTCTCCACATCTTCCACACCACACACAGATACAGTTTAAATCCACAGCAAGAGTATTTTCTACATCCTCTCTGTGCTCCCATCCATTAGAGTAATTCTCATGGGAAAATCAGTACTGCTATCCATTGCATCACTAACCAGCACCTTTTTCAAATATGCATCCTGAGTGGATTAAGGGCTAGTGAACTTCTTTTTGGAACAGGTATTTCTGATAACCTATGGATGACTGAACTAACTTAAGGCAAATAGGGAAAATAGCTATAAAGTGGATTTAGGCATTTACAAGACTTACAAAATTTAGTCATGACTGTCTATGGAAGCAGCCAGGCAAATGACTGTACTCATATATTATAAATAGATCACAGTAACTAAACAGCTGATTCATTATTAATAGACTCTATATGCTTTCTGACTTAAATCTGAAAAGCCCAGTCATCAGAAAAATTTGTTTCTATGCTACAAAAATCAACATGTAATTTGCTATATATAAATGGCACATTATATATAAATACCATTTTTTTCACTGTGAAAGAAAAGTGGCTTTTTTCTACTTCATACAGATTCCCACAAAGTAGGAGCCACTAAATAGCTATCAGATAAACTAAGTGGAATATAAGATTAGATGTAATATTATGGACGATAGTATAAGATGTGTGTGTGAATGTGCATCCACTCACATGTACATATGCAAAGGAGAAGAAAAATCACGGGGTAACTTCCACAAGAGACAAGAATGTGTTGTATTGCAGCTATCTTCCCTAAACCCATATAAAAGTCAGAGAGGTAAGTGACTGATCTTTTTTCAGATGCAATCATCAACTTTTTGTTACAAGTCCAGTATTCAATCACTAAGACAAAGGTCTGTTGGCTGACTGGCTACACAGCAGGGTAGCTCTCCATGAATAAACTGCAGAACGTACAGGACCTAAGAATACTTGAAATACTTGAGTAGAACTTTAGTAAGATGTACAATGTTAGTCTGCATTACGTTCAGGACACAAGTTTTCTGGTTTGGACACAAAGCAAAAACTGAAGCTCCTGGTTTAAAACTATCCATCTAGCTGAAATGCAAATTAAAACAAAACAAAACAAAACAAAAAAACAGAAAAAAAAATAAAGTACACTCATGCTACACCACAGACACTCAGGTTTATCCAACTTTGTACCTTGAGTCGAGCTTCTACTGAAGCCTTCTTACGAGCTTCCCTTCTGCGATACTGCTCCACTTTATCCAGCTGATCGGGACGCTGAAGCATTCCTGCTACTCTCTGAACAGCTGTTGCAACCGCTTCCCTATCCGTTTCCTCCATGGCTGATTAGGACTTCAGAATGTCTTCATTACTTAACAGGACTGAAAAGAAATAAAACATTTTTTTAAAAGCCACCTTTTTTCATTAGATGGCTATGTTACATTTCAAAGTTAACAACTGGAGAATTAACTTTGGCAATAAAAGCAGTGGAACTTGACAGAAGCATCATTAAACTGCATTCTAAAGAGAAGCAATTGGAATACTACGAGAACTGCACTTAAAGACACTTAACAGAGTCTCATTAGCTCCCCTGAAATGCTTTTGGTTGCTGTTTTTGCATTTACCTTGCTCTAAGTTTGAATTTTAAAAAAACCAAAACAAACACCACCAAAAAAACCCACCACAAAAAACCCAGCAAATTTTCATTAACAGAAGAGATTCTATTTAATCCAAGGGTAGGCTGGCCTATTAAAATGGTAAGACAAGCATAATGGAATCTTGTAGAAAGTTCAACCAAAAGTCTTAACTCATTCTCAACTACAACTGGGTGGAGTTGAGAGATCCACAGTCCTCCTGCAGCAACAGGTCAAATTTGCTACCAAAACTGGGGAGAAACATAGCAGTGGAAGCTCCAAACCCAGAGAATTAACTATAGAGCACTTCCATTTAGGCTTCTGATGGGAAATTTTTTGATTTCCTACTCTTGTTTTCAGTTCTTCTCACAGTATCAGTCTAGTCCATCAGGGGTGTAGGGAAAAATTACTCAAGTATTTTACCTCAGTTTTCAGCAGAATTTCTAGTGAAACCAAGACATGCAGGCAAACAAGTCTGGGGAAAAGGTAACATCTGCTGCCCACTGAGGCAGATCTGTTCTCTCAAACTTCAATAGCTACTAACACAAAATATCACCAAAGATGCAATACCATGGTGTCCACAGACCTCTGAGGAACGTATCTGGACCTCCTCATTGCTTCCAAATTATTTCCTACATTTTTATGTCTTTTGTCTTGCAACCAAAAAGAACATCTTAGGTTCTACTGCCAGCTGGAGATTATACTCTCTCACACCCATATTATTCCTTGAAATTAGATATATATTTTCAGAGCAGTCTGCATTCATAAATCCAGCACATCACTTAATCTCAGCCAAACAGTGATCTAAAGAACTGTGCCAAGTGCACAGCACTGAAAGAGCAAAAGCAAGAAAACTCATGTGACAAGAGAAAATAACTTTGATAAATGAAGGAAACATCCCCTACCCAAAAAACCTTAAGAAATAACCAAAGCAAAGAAAATTGCTCACCACTCCTCACAGGCAAACTAACGCTCCAGCCAGTTTCTGAATAACCACTATCCCGGAAACAAAACTCCCATTTTTTATTGCTAAGTATGATATACATTAAATAATTTCCCTTTGGCTAGTTTGGGTCAGATGACCCGACTGTGCTCTCTCAATCTCTGCCCATCCCCAGCCTACTCAAGGGGAGTGGAAGGCAGATTAGGAAAAAGAGAAAGCCTTCACACTGTCCAAGCCCCCTTCAGCCATAGCCAAATACCGCGGCATGAGCATCACTCTTTTTGCCACAAACCTAAGAAACAGACTGTACAGACTGTTATAAAAAGTTAACTACGTCCCAACCAGACTCCGTAGAGCATTAGTAAAACTCCTAATTTTAGAACTTATCATGGCTAAAAAACATTCTAGGCAAGGTTTGCCTGTGAGTCTCAAGTTCTGTATCTCTAGTACCTTCAAGAATTACATGCATAAGTTTGAACTTATTCCAGAGTTACTTCTACAGTGTAAACTGCTGTAATTCTTTACTACTGGCCTGGTTAACTCAAACCATGTTTGATTTCTTATTCTTCATCTAAACATGCAAGATCTATTTCTATCACTTGTGCTTTGGAATGAACACTCCAGTTTTGTTTGGCTCAATCCATTTCCAAAATATAAGGGCTCTACCCAAAATTGAAAAGAAACCACTTTCAAATATGATCTTACTACAGAAATAGTATTCTGCAGCAGAGAGCTTTATCCTGAATTACTGCCCTTATTAAAAACTCTGAATACACCCCGCAGAGTTACAACACCTTTAGCTCACACAGCCACTACCCAGGCACATCAAGCAGACCTCGTCAGCAGAATCAGAAGCCAGCACAATGTAACTAACACGCCGAGGCGGACAGGCTCTTGTAGAACCACCCAAAAGGAACAGCAAACTTGAGGAAGCCATGTCAGCTTCATATAGAAGCTGCGAGTCAAAACTACACACAGCTTCAGGGCAAAATAGAGGCATAAGCGAACAAAACTATGTCCCGAGCCGACTCGGGAAGGCTCCAGCTGCAATCGCACCCTTATGCTCCGGACTCACGCTCCAGAGGAGATCCAGCGGGGGCGACAGGCTCCCGGGGGAGGCCCCTGCACCTCTGCAGAGGAGCTGCTGGGCCAGTGGAACGCAGCGAACCCTCCGAACAGAGCCCGGGGTAAGCAGCGGCAGCAGCCCCGGCCGGCAACCCCACACCTGCCCGGCTCCTCCCTGGCAGCGGTGGCTGAGCTCGACTCATTCTCACCGACGCAGGTGCCCGTCAGTGCCGGGCAAAGGCCGGAAAGCTGCCCCCGGGCACGCCGAGCTCCTTCGCCCTCCGCCGCGGCCCCGGGATAGGACGAGCCTTCAGCACCCCCTTCGGTCCCGGCACACCGAGGGGCTCCCCGCATCGCCCCGGCCCATCCCACCCCCCACTCTCTCCGCTTCCCACTGCCAGACCGGGGTTCCTACAGCCCGCGACAGCCCGGCAGGGCCGGCACGGCGGTGCTCACCGGTCGGCAGCGGCGGAGACAGGGCAGGGATCGGCGGGACCCGCGGCCGCACTTACCGGGGCCGCGGCCGCCCCTGCTCGGGAAGGCGCTGACAGCCCCCGGTGCGCCGGCGCACGCCCGGCCGCGCACGCGCACCGCGCTGCCGGCGGCACCGCCTCCTCCCCCTCCTCTTCCTTTTATTTTTTTTTTTTTTAATTTTTTTTTTTTTTGGCAATTTTTCTGTTAAGGGGAGCTGTGTGTTCTACGGGGGTCTGGTCCAAAGTCGCCGAAATCGGTTAAAAAAAATAAAAACCAAAAAATAAACTTCACGACTGCTGTGGGGTGTTAAAGCTTTGGGTCGGAGTGGTCGCCTACCGCAGTGGGTGTCGTCTGGGAAAAAGAAGGAAGCACGCGGAGTGTTTTCTTCACGGGATGGGTTGTTCAGCGTTGGAATGGGCTGCCAAAGGGACGTGGTGGAGTCACCTTCCCTGGAGGTGTTCAGGAAATGACTGGATGTGGCTCCGTGCCACGGTGTGTCTGCGTGACACGGTGGTGATGGGTCAGCCTGGTTGGACTCGATGGTCTCAGAGGCCTTTTCCAACCTAACTGAATCTGTAATGAAAATGGATAAGCTGGATAAGCTGCACCTCACTCGGTGGCTTCAGATCCGTGTGGAAGCTGTTTATCCCGGCAGAGGAGAAGGGCAAGTCCTCACCCCGCCGGGATTTGGCTGTCTCCTCAAGCCTTGCCCAGACGCCGGGGCGCTTCCGTGCCCACATCCCGAGGGATGTGTCGGGAGCGTGGTGCGGCTCTCACCGCCACCTCCCCCGAGTCAGCGCCCCACAGCCGCTGAGGCTCAGGGAAGCTGCGTGCTTAGGGTTTAATTTCTACGGTGGTTTTTAAAAGACGGGTAGTTAAGAAATTAGCACCGGGTTGCTGAATCCAGTGGGAAATGGGGACAGGCGCGGTGCCTCGTGGGGGCTGGGTCGCTCGCTGGGTTTGTGTAGGGGTTGCCATAGCAGCTGCCAGCAGGTCCAAGCGCCCAGGAGAGACCGCAGGCGTCAAAACCTGCCTGGGATTCAGGAGGTGCCGCAGCCGGCGCTCGGTGCCCAGCACTTCGCTTTGGGACCTGCAGCAGCTTCCGAAGGAGCTTAACCTGTCCCCCGAGGCGTGAGTTCCCACCTGCGGCAGTCTGACCGGAGAGAAAGTGTAGTTGTGCAATTAGAAATAAAGTTTTGGTAACAAGCACCCTTAAAGAAGCTTTTATCATTTCGAAAACGGCTTAGATCTTCTCTTTTTAAATCACCGACTGAAAGTAGAGGTATTTTTCCCCCCTTTCCTTGTTAGTCTGTCATATTGATGCTGTAACGGGAAAAAAATACAGAAGGTATCTTTATTACACTGTTACACTGTGTGGTCATTTTCTTTATTGTTGATTTAGGTTGTTTTTTGTGTGGTGGTGCAGATGGAGGAGACTGTGGGAGGTGAAACGGAGTTAGGGGGACGAGAGGAGCCCAGTTCCTCTCATGGTCACTCTGCACAGCAGGGATCAGAGCAACTGAGAGCAACACAACTTTCTTCTAAACCTCATATTGATCTCTCTCCACCTCTCATTGCTATTAAAAAAGGTAAGGGGGAAAATAAAAAATACTTCATGCCAGCTTTGTATGGGAAAAAAAATCCAGGAACAAAAAGAGAAACCAATTAAGTAGAGTTTTTGTATGTACTGGTTGGGTATGTGCTATTCTGAATCTGCCAGTGGTAGGGACTGTGTATGCTGAATGTGCAGTTTTCAGCTTTATAAATAATATGTACATATAAATAAACAAATGCATATATGTTTATACATATATAAGTATTTACAGGGCCATTCACAGTTCAACTCTGATACAATAGCGGATTTCCTAATGTTGAATCATAGTAACGTGATTCAAACAATTTTTCTGGAATTAAAATGAGTAGTGCTCCATAATAGAGCGTACTTTACAGTATGACACATAATATGGTATCATTTTTTCTGGAATATTTTAACATTGGAAATAGGTTAAATTAGTTAGTTCAAAAATTATTGAACATAGCTATCGCCCTCTGTGCCTATGGGTGCATCCCTTACCTGTGTACATTTTGCTTATGTATTCACTGACCTTGTGGAAGAGGATCACTATAGAGAGTACTGAATAAATAAATATCCATGGCAACGGGAGAGAGAGTAAAGCTAATGCCACTTGTACAGTGTACTCTGGGGATCAATACGGGGTCCAGTCATGTTCAACATCTTCATTAATGATCTGGATGACGTGGTAGAGGGTACCCTCAGTAGGGTTGCTGATAACAGATAAAAGGGAGGGTTTACCAATGCACCATAGGGTTATGCTGCCATCCAGAGGAGCCTTGAGAGGCTGGAGAAAATTCCTGCACCTAGGGATAAACAAGTCCATGCAGCAATACTATCTGAGGGCTAAAGAGCTGGAAAACAGATTGGCAGGAAAGAACCTGAGATTCCCAGTGGACAGCAAATGCAACATGAACCAAGAATAGCTCTTGTGGCAGAGGAGCTTGATGATACCATGAAGTGCATAAGGAGTATTGCCAGCAGGTTAAGGGGGATGATCCATCCTCTCCATTCAGCCCTGGTGAGGCCTCTCCTGGAGGTGTCCAGTTTTAGGCTTCCCAGCACAAGAGAGACATGGATATACTGGAAAGAGTCCAGTGAAAATAATGAAGGCAGTAAAGCACCTCTCCTATGAGGAAAGGATAAGAGCTGGGATCTTGTCTATGCATGTAAAAGGGAAGGTGTAAGGAAGAAGGAGTGAAGCTCTTTTCCATGGTGTCCAGTGATGGGACCAGAGGCAATGGTGGAAACTGAAACATGGGAGGTTCTCTCTGAATATCAGGAAACACTGTGAAGGTGACCAAGCACTGGTGCAGATTGCCCAGGGAGGTTATGGAGTCTCCATCCGTGGAGATACTCAAAAGCCATATGGAAACATTCCTGGGCAACTGGCTCTAAGTAACTGTGCTTGAGCAGGATCCCTTCCAAGCTCAACCATTCTGTGACTCTCTATACAATACATATTAATCAGGTGAAAAGAGATACAGTTTGATAGAAAATTTATATGGAAATGAGTGTTATTAATATTCTAATTTTAGTCACAGTCTTATGATTTATAATATTTATATTTTTATTGTTATTATATTTATATTTATATTTTAAAATAGATTAAATAGTAATTCATGGAAGTTTGGTGAGCTGCTTATAAGCATTACTGCATGCTCCACTGGGGATCCTATCTGCTGCCAATGACGGGATATAAATATCATTTTTTGAGAAATAAAATGGTCTCATTTTCCCCAGTGTGAGAAGAGGTTAGCTAGCAAATATGAAGACACAACACTGCAGGTCTCGTAAATGCATTTGTCGTACTTGAATAATTAGAACTTTTAATTTCTTTTAACTTCTTTTAACTAGAGACAGAAAGCAAATATCATAGACATGCAGGGAACCTGAAGACAAGGAGCACCGAGCTAGGATCTACTGTCACAGGATCATCTTTGACTACTGTTCTTCCGGCAAGTGTTTTTGTTCTGAAACAGGTGGTGACTCAACTACCTTTTGTCCACTGAATGTTATTCTATCCAGATTTTTCTCTAAGTCTTCACTGATAAAAGCTTGTCTAATACTGAAGCATGCTGAGTCCTTCAGTCTCTGTTAATTGCAAGGAAAAAGGAACAATGAACCTCTCGAAAAAGGCTACAGTGTTTGGGCACTGACTTTCTGTGCTCACAATGTGTGTTGCTGGGATTTTAGGTTCTTTGATGTATTTTTTTATCATCCACTGGTTAATATGCTTTCTTTGCCGTGATAAAAATTAATGTTGTTTAAGAATACTTGAATAAGGTCATACTGCATCAGGGAAGGCATATGCAAAATAAGAGATCCAGTTGTTGACATGGAAACCAGAGATGATAAAAGACTGATATAGATGAGCTGGGGACTACATGGTGAATCACAATTAGCTTTTAGAGATATCAGAAGGGTACTGACCAGCAACTACAGGTATTCAGACATTGTCGATGTCTCCTGGTCTCTAAGAGATGCAGGTAGAGACAAGAGTGGATGGAAAACATCCATTCAGAGTCTGGGGTAAGACCAAGTGGTAGGAAGCAAAGGTGGAAGTTGGACAGCTTTTTTGTTTTTTAATCCAAGAGTTGGATTGATTAATTACAATTCCAATTAGTGTATAGTACTGGGAAATTATGTAATTTATCTTTTTTTTCCCTCTCCAGTAAAAACTGTAAGGTACAGAGACACTTCAGACATTTCCAAACCCCAGATACTCATGTCAATGGGAGCTAGAGAGTAGAGAGAAATGATCAGTGTGGTTATTTATTTACACAAATCTTTAGTTTTCTATTTAGCTTCTGAAGATTTTCTATTGACTTAAAAATGTTAGCCACCATATCTATTTTCAGTCTTGTTCACATTGATATGAAGATTTTGAAAAATCCTTTTTTTTACATAAATCTCCCTCTTTATAATTGTCCTGCTACCTTT